GGAAGGGGAAATGTCAAAGCCATCAATCAAGGGTCATAAATCATATTTGACATAAGGTACATCATATTGCTACTGACCGTTGTTTTGTTTTGATCTCTCCGCTGCGTTTCCGCTTGCATCACTTCTGAATGGCGCATGCGCAAAGCCGACCTCATACATCATCCGCCCGGAACTGCTTCCAATTACAACAGTGAGCGCAAGCTAGATTCAAGTGATTATTACGTTTTGAATATGGATATTTTTCTTACAAAAACGCATCGATTCGCTACAGGAGGCCTTTGTTCACCCCCCGGAGCCGTGTGAGACATTTTTTTTTTTTTAATGGATGGGCGCTTTTTATTTCACCTCTTTTGGACTGAAGCACTGCAACACCCGCTGACTGCAATGATAGAGCTTGGAATAGCCAGGACAATTTTTAATAACTCCGACTGGATTCATCTGAAAGAAGAAAGTCATATACACCTAGGATGCCTCGGGGCTTAGTAAAAAACAGCCTAATTTTCATTTTTGGGTGAACTAACCCTTTAAGAGCAAAATCAAATAAACACCCATATGTAATCAATATACAAATATTACTCAAGTCTATACGGTATATGTCGGCTTGACTCAGTTTAACCCCGGCCTGCAGCTTATTTACAGAAGTGGTCTTGTTCATTGTACAAAGCTCATGACAGTGGTCAATATTGCTAGATGAAGAGAACATTCATTTGATGGATGAAATTCCAGTGAGCTTTAAGCCAAGTCATCGAATTATTATATATTGCTGTGTGTTTTTCTATCAATAATAAATGTCCTTTTCCTGCAGTAGCCTATTTGCTGAAAGGAATATTTTCTATATAAGAAGGCCTGACCTCTGCCATGAGTTATGGATAAATAAGATATTCAGGTGTGTGTGTGTGTGTGTGTGTAGTGTGATAGTGGTAATACTGTACATGATGCAGTGGGGTCCAGAACTCTGATACCACATTGAAAATCTGTTTATATATATATATATATATATATAAACTGAATATATATATATATAAACAGATTTTCAATGTGGTATCAGAGTGTTTATATATATATATATATATATATATAAACAGATTTTCAATGTGGTATCAGAGTGGTATCAGAGTTCTGGTTTGTTTGTGTTCTAGAAGTTTACCCAACTATGACGACTTCCACTTCTGAGAACCCTGAAAATATAAAAAGGGTCCATCAGTGCTGCTAAAGAATTGTGTCAAGTACTGAATAAGAAACTTTCAGCTCAACACATTGTACTACATTTAAATTCACAGAATTACAAAGATTTCCCCCCAAAATCAGATTGAAAAAAGTTTTGCTGGATGTACTCATGGGCCATTGTTATCTAAACGGTATCACTCACATGTTATTATTGTGCTGCATCATTGTTTCTAATGATCTTTACCCTCTTCACCCCTTACTTGTTTATCAGCCGAGTGTGAGCACAAGATCCACAGCACGAGTGGAACCATCAGCAGTCCGAACTGGCCTGACAAATACCCCAGCAGGAAGGAGTGCACGTGGGAGATCAGCGCCACCCCGGGCCACCGGGTCAAGATTGTGAGTCTTTATATAATTCTCTGCTATATGTTTGCATGTGTTAAAAAGGGGTCATATGATGCTATTTTAAAGATCATTATTTTGTGTATTTGGTGTAACAGAATATGTTGACATGCTTTAATGTTCAAAAAACACATTATTTTTAAAATACTGTACATTATTGTAGGTCCTCTCTCAAACGCTTCGTTTTCTACAAAGCCCCCTCCTTTGACAAGCGCAGCCTGCTCTGATTGGCCAGCTGACCCAGTGCATTGTGACTGGACGAACACCGCAAGCACTCGTCGGAAATGTAACGCCCCTTACCATAATCGCGAGCTTCATCTTTCAAAATAAATGTAAAGACAGTAAATAATGTCATTAGTTTTACCATCAGTTCAAGCCCGAAAGGACAACAGAGTCGCGTGACAGACACAGTGATGAAGCTGGTATGTGTTTGCAGTACACAAGCCACGGTTAAGACAGCTGAAATCTGTCTTTCGCACTGACATGGCTGCATCAACACTACTGCTGTTCCTGAAACCACGCCTTCTTTCTTTGCGTGCACATTTGGGCCGCATTATGCAAATATTTCCACATA